GTGTGTAATATATACATGAATTAAGGAGTTGGACTCCAGTATGTCTAAATGAATGGTATGAGGAGGAGCCAGGTTTTAAAGATACATGAACTTCAGTTCTGTAGTTCTAAGAGTAGAAGCTACCATCTGTTTGTGGGGTAGACTCATTTTTTGTTTTTGGAAGCATCATGATAAGGAATGCTTTTAGTCATTTACCTATATATTTTGATTGTATTAACTCTGTTGCTTGTAAAAGAAGGAAATTAATAGACCTCAGCAACATGGTGACTGGCCAGTGGCTAAAGAGGGAAATGGCTTAAGAGGTCCTTGTGAAAAAGCAGCATGTCTAGTACATACTAGCAGCAGTGATATTCAATAAAAAAAGGCTTTTCTTTACTATTGTGACTTTATCTTATTCTCAGGCTCAAAGTCCATTAACTATAATAGCCTTTAAGGGGTGTGTGTATGTGTGCATATTTGCACGTGTGTATATGTGTGTTTAAAGGTACTCATTGATACTGTTAAAGCAATCTATCTGGGCCTGAAATGGCAGCTGTTACTCTCACAATTGGATTCCTATGGACAAACTGAAATCACACACGTTAGTCTGTTTCCTAAGCGAGTTGCTAAGTTACAGCCAGTCACATTAGCCACACTTCAGGCAATCACAGAAAACTTACCTTTTAGACTGTTCATACATTCTGCGGAACCAAACCAGTTATTTCTCTACTTCATTCTCTCACTTTTGCTTTTATACAAGACTTTCTCTTTCCTGCATATTTTACTTTCCCTTTCTGGATTGACTATCACTGCAATGAAGAAGCCACCTGTCGTTCTTTGGAAGCCATTTGGGGAAACTGCCAAATGACCTTTTTTGTTCAAATGAACTGTATTAAAATTTGTCTAAAATTTTATTTATTTATTTATTTATTTATTTATTTATTTTTGGAGAGTTTTTTTTTCTTCTTTTTTTGCTATAGGGCGTGTGCGCTCACCAGACAGACAGAGAAAGACACAGAGACAGAAAGCGAGAAATCACCCCCCAGGGGGGATGGTCACGCCGCAGTCCCTTCTCCTCCATTCTCCTCTCGGGATCATGGGCACGCATGCACATGTGCCCAGCGTGAGTTTTAAGCCACCCAGGTCCGGGACGTGAACTGCAGTCGACTACGTGGGAGTCCAGCGACATAACCATTATGCTAACTGCTGGTTCCCAAATTTTATTTATTTTTTATAATACATTTTGAAAAGCAAAGTATGGACTGCAGGAACTTATATAGGATAGAAAGTAATTTATAATTATCAAATAAACATGATAGAGAAGCACAGTATAACAGACTGTAGGAAAAAAAAATGACCAACCACCAGCAAAATCTTAAAAGTCATCAGAAATATTTGGAAAGAGGTATAAACTGTACATCTATGGAAAATAAAAGTTACATGATTATAATTTGACTACTAAAAGAATGATGGACTCCAGGATGTTGAAGAATTTGGGACCATTTGTGATCCCTTACATAAAAACTGTGTATGTATTGAGACTAAGAAAAAGAATGAGAGATTAAGAATGAGAAGGAAAGGATACAGAGTCACAAGCTGAGAGAGGGGAAGAAGTGATACAAACAGAACAAGTTAATAAAAAGAATATGCAAAGGGAAAATTTGAGTTATGAATGAGAGAGAGAGACAGAGTTAAAGTAAAGTAGGGAAATGTATTAGTTAATAATGTATGTGGTTGAAAGCAATGGAAAACTACTCAGATGATTTTTAAAAGGAACTTCATTGGTTCACATACCTGAAAAGTAGAAGTAGGAACGTCTGTACAACCAGCTTTATCCAGGAGTTAATATGAATTCAAGTGCACCTATTATTTCTCCTCAGCTATTGTTTCCTCTGTAATTTCATTCTCAGGTTGCCTTTACCTATAAATTGTCAAAGACAACCAGGAAAAGGCGTATGTTCTCCCAGGTAATAGACCCTTGAAGATAGAGTCATTTTTTTCCCTAATATTCAAACAGCATTTCTACAAGTAAGTCTGATTAGAATGGCTTGGGTTACATGTAACCCTGAATGAGTCACTGTTACTAGGGGAACATTCATTTTTATTGAATGTTCAATGTTTCATGATTACAACAGATCCAACTCGATCAAGCAAAATATGGACTGAGTATGAGAGACATATGATTTCTTAAATTAAAAGATGCAGTCTTTTTCCATAGGGATACTGAATAGACCAAATTATACAAACACACCGGCAAACAGACCCACAGACACACACACACACACACACACACACACACACACACACAGGCTCACACACACACATACTTTGAGGAGACTGAGAAAGAAGAGGAGAGAGTTGAAAGAGAGAGAAGAAAGAGGGAGGAAGTAAGAAAAGATTAAGGTAGATAGAGCAGAGATGATTCATCTTATGGTGAATTCCAAGGAACCAGAGCAAAGATGTATACAACTAGACAACTTGCTACAAAAATATGACATGAAAACTATACATGAACATTCTCTGTTAAAAAAGTTAGAGTTAGTCAAATTTGGCTTTATAAACATAAATCTGTATTCATACTGGGTTCCAGAGCTTCATCTGTAAATACTAGAAACATATCCTTTACTCAAATGTAGATATCACATGCATAAATGGATTTCATTTTTTCAATAAATGTTGGTGTCTGCTCAGAATTTTCTTTACAGCCTCTTTCACATCCTTATTTCTCAGGCTGTAAATGATGGGGTTTAACATTGGTGTTACAATTCCATAAAACAACATAATGATCTCATCAGATATCTTTGTATCTTTTGACTTGGGCTTCATGTACATAAAAAGGGCTGAACCATAGAATAAAATGACCACAGTCAGGTGGGCTGAACATGTAGAAAAGGCTTTCTTTCTCCCTTCGGCAGTGTTAAGTCTCAGGATGGCAGAGAGGATGAAAACGTAAGAAATAAAAATTGATAGTAGAGGAATGATCAGTATAACAATACCTCCCACTCTCATGATAAGCACATTAATGGTGATATCTGAGCATATGAGTTTAAGAACAGCCAGCAATTCACAGGTAAGATGGTCAATGACATTATTCCCACAGAAAGGCAATACCATTGCCATGGTTGTTTGCACCAGGGAGATCATATAGCCTGTAATCCAGGACCACGCGGCCATGTGCACATTTCGTACCCTGTTCATGATGATGGGATACCTCAGTGGATTGCAGATGGCCACATACCGGTCATAGGCCATTACAGCAAGGAGAACACACTCAGTGCAACCCAAGCCAAGGGAGATAACCATCTGTAGAGCACAGCCGAGAAAGGAGATTGATTTTTTTCCAGCTCTAAATATGATAAGCATTGGAGGAACAAAAGAGGAGGTGTAACAGATGTCCAAGAACGAGAGGTTTCCAAGAAAGAAGTACATAGGGGAGTGGAGGCATGAATCCAGCACGCTGATGATAATGAGGAGACTATTTCCCAGGAGGATTATCAGGTACATGATGAGGCAGAGCATGAACAAAGAAAGTCGGAGCTCTGGGTATCTGGAAAGCCCCACCAGAAAGAATTCAGTCACGGCAGAGAAATTCTCTGTCTTCATGTGTTTGTCACCTGCAAATTTTATATAGAGAAATGACCTGGGAAAATTTAAATGTATTGCTTAGTTTTAGAAGTTACTCTAACTTGTATTATTTAAGTTTTAGAATAGCTCTATGAATCAGGATATGCATGCATTTAATTTTAAGACTATTGAGAATAAAACTGAAGCACTTACAAGGTTTAATTATTTGTAGGACCACACTAGCCTAAACCAGGCTACCAATAATCCCACAGGTATATCATGAAATGTCAGATCTCTTGTAAAAAAACAGATTAAAACAGCATAATTCCAAAAGTGCATATAGAGAAATCTCATTATTAGTGAATATTATTTGAAGTAAAACATGTTTTCTCATTGAAGTTAGTTCTATTTAAAAATAATATATACCATTAGCCCATATCATTTAGTTTGTAAGTGACTTTAGATAAGTTACTTAACTTTCTCAGTTTCAGTTATCTTATGTAAAAAATATGAAGAAGAAAGAACTCTTTGGCAATTTGTTGCATTAAATTAGATAAATATTTAAGGTACCCATGATTTGGTTAAAATGTTTTATCTACAATTATATTTAAAATTATATTTTCATAATTATATAATTAGTAGAACTCTCCACAGACTCAGAAAAAAAAGATTCTTCCATTCTCAGTCCACAATTATATACATAAAGCTAATTCCACTATTTGGATTCACAACAATATGAAACACAGACATGTTAAAGAAAAGTAAACATAGTCCTGCAAACAGATTCATTCATTCACAGTCGCATGTGACGTAGCCATTGTAACTGGATAATAATTGCAGGAAAGTTGCCTGATCTTAAATCATAAATGTATTACTTTATTAAAAAATTCATTTTTTTCTTTTATGAGAGAGAGTGAGAAGGAGAGAGCCCCTCAACAAGGTCCTGACACACTGCTATTTCCCCCTGTCCTTCACCTCTTCCTTGCAGCCAGCCAGGATCATAGGTGTGCATGGTCTTTAGATCTACCTGTATCTAAATCTAGAAACTTCCCTTGTGGCTCCAGCATTGTACAGAATTAGCCTACCTGCTGTGACTGGAGCAAGAATAATTATTTCTTCAAGGTTCTCTAAATTGGTAGGATATGTGGCTTCTCCTAGCCATCTTTGCCAGTTCATGGGAGAACCAGATTGATACTGAAATTGCCAAAGAAGAAAGAGTAGCTGAAGGGGAAATAATAGAGTATTCTTGATGTCATTTTAACTCCTGGATCAAGCTGGTTCTAAAGACATTTGTTCTTGCACTTTTCAGTCATGTGAGCCAATAAAGTTCCTTTTAAGAAAATATTTTGAGTTGATTTCCATTGATTACAACCAAATAAATCCTGACTAATGCATTTTAACTACTCTTTGTTTCTCACTAGCTCTGAGTTTTAATTTTTTCTGTGTACTTCATTTTCCTAATTTGAAATTGATAGTAGAGGAATAATCAGTATAATGATACCTCCCACTCTCATGATAAGCACATTAATGGTGATATCTGAGCATATGAGTTTAAGAATAGCCAGCAATTCACAGGTAAGATGGTCAATGACATTATTCCCACAGAAAGGCAATACCATTGCCATGGTTGTTTGCACCAGGGAGATCATATAGCCTGTAATCCAGGACCACGCGGCCATGTGCACATTTCGTACCCTGTTCATGATGATGGGATACCTCAGTGGATTGCAGATGGCCACATACCGGTCATAGGCCATTACAGCAAGGAGAACACATTCAGTGCAACCCAAGCCAAGGGAGATAACCATCTGTAGAGCACAGCCAAGAAAGGAGATAGATTTTCTCTCAGACCTAAATATGATGAGCATTGGTGGAATGAAAGAGGAAGTGTAACAGATGTCCAAGAATGAGAGGTTTCCAAGAAAGAAGTACATAGGGGTGTGGAGGCGAGAATCCAGTATGCTGACGATAATGAGGAGGCTATTTCCCAGAAGGATTATCAGGTACATGATGAGGCAGAGCATGAACAAAGAAAGTCGGAGCTCTGGGTATCTGGAAAGCCCCACCAGAAAGAATTCAGTCACGGCAGAGAAATTCTCTGTCTTCATGTGTTTGTCACCTGCAAATTTTATATAGAGAAATGACCTGGGAAAATTTAAATGTATTGCTTAGTTTTAGAAGTTACTCTAACTTGTATTATTTAAGTTTTAGAATAGCTCTATGAATCAGGATATGCATGCATTTAATTTTAAGACTATTGAGAATAAAACTGAAGCACTTACAAGGTTTAATTATTTGTAGGACCACACTAGCCTAAACCAGGCTACCAATAATCCCACAGGTATATCATGAAATGTCAGATCTCTTGTAAAAAAACAGATTAAAACAGCATAATTCCAAAAGTGCATATAGAGAAATCTCATTATTAGTGAATATTATTTGAAGTAAAACATGTTTTCTCATTGAAGTTAGTTCTATTTAAAAATAATATATACCATTAGCCCATATCATTTAGTTTGTAAGTGACTTTAGATAAGTTACTTAACTTTCTCAGTTTCAGTTATCTTATGTAAAAAATATGAAGAAGAAAGAACTCTTTGGCAATTTGTTGCATTAAATTAGATAAATATTTAAGGTACCCATGATTTGGTTAAAATGTTTTATCTACAATTATATTTAAAATTATATTTTCATAATTATATAATTAGTAGAACTCTCCACAGACTCAGAAAAAAAAGATTCTTCCATTCTCAGTCCACAATTATATACATAAAGCTAATTCCACTATTTGGATTCACAACAATATGAAACACAGACATGTTAAAGAAAAGTAAACATAGTCCTGCAAACAGATTCATTCATTCACAGTCACATGTGACCTAGCCATTGTAACTGGATAAAAATTGCAGGAAAGTTGCCTGATCTTAAATCATAAATGTATTACTTTATTAAAAAATTCATTTTTTTCTTTTATGAGAGAGAGTGAGAAGGAGAGAGCCCCTCAACAAGGTCCTGACACACTGCTATTTCCCCCTGTCCTTCACCTCTTCCTTGCAGCCAGCCAGGATCATAGGTGTGCATGGTCTTTAGATCTACCTGTATCTAAATCTAGAAACTTCCCTTGTGGCTCCAGCATTGTACAGAATTAGCCTACCTGCTGTGACTGGAGCAAGAATAATTATTTCTTCAAGGTTCTCTAAATTGGTAGGATATGTGGCTTCTCCTAGCCATCTTTGCCAGTTCATGGGAGAACCAGATTGATACTGAAATTGCCAAAGAAGAAAGGGTAGCTGAAGGGGAAATAATAGAGTATTCTTGATGTCATTTTAACTCCTGGATCAAGCTGGTTCTAAAGACATTTGTTCTTGCACTTTTCAGTCATGTGAGCCAATAAAGTTCCTTTTAAGAAAATATTTTGAGTTGATTTCCATTGATTACAACCAAATAAATCCTGACTAATGCATTTTAACTACTCTTTGTTTCTCACTAGCTCTGAGTTTTAATTTTTTCTGTGTACTTCATTTTCCTAATTTGTTATGCCTGCCTTCCTTCCTTCCTTCCTTCCTTCCTTCCTTCCTTCCTTCCTTCCTTCCTCATTTTGTGATAGATTCTACATTTCTGAATGCCACTGCTTATTTCTTCTGACATTGGTGCATGGATTTCTTTCCTCAAAGTGTGAATCGAGGCACTTGATTTGTTTGTGCATAGCTATTTTGAATTTGGAGGAGAAGGAAGGGAAGCGGTAGGAGAAGAGGAAACCCTTTTTTGTTGTTCTAAGAAAGTACTACACTTAGCATGTGTACCTCAGTAGAGTGGACTTTAAAGAGAAAATGATAAACAAGGACATTCTTTTCTGGGCACTTAATATCTCATCCTAATTCCCCAGTTACCTAATTTCTCCTATTATTTCTAAAGCAGGGTTATTCTTCACAATACATTGGAGATTTCCATTGCTTGTCCAAAAGAATAAGCCATTGTGGATTTCCAAAGGAATTAATATTGAATAAGATAAAACAAGTAAGGCAATCATAAAAACCAAAAGTCTCCTCTTTTTCTGCATAGTCTTAAGAATTTTTCACTTTTCTTACTAAGATTTCTGTGTGTAAACGAAGTGCAATTTTTGTTACTAGAAACACAGAAGAAGCTTTTAGCTTTTATTAGTAAAGACTTGTATCTGAGTACCTTGATGACTGCTGGGATTGATTCATTCAGCCCATGCTGCATTCTCTGACCATCTGTAAGCTTGTGCTGGGGGGTGGGGGGAGGGGCTTCTTTGCCAATCTTCTCACCCCTGTATTTTGAGTGCTGATAAGGCTTGTTTATGAAAAAAAAAATACTGTGTTCTAATGAATACAGAGGATCCAGAGTTCAATCCTAGCTCTGTGATTTATTAGATGTAGAGCCCTTGAGCAAGATATTGGACCTTGATCAATAAGATGTATCACCTGCAAGAGTAACATAATAGTACTTATTTTATAGACTCATGAAGACTAATATGACATAAGTGGTAGTTCTTGCCAAAGAATGAGTGCACAATACCTCTACATTAATTCTGGACTCTCGGGCATTCAACCTCTTCCATTTTTCAGTCTCAAGGAGTAATGAATAACTTATAATGATGTTCATGGGATGGGGGGGGGGTTGGTAAAATGTGACACACTGCAAAGGTGGCCCACAATTTGAGATTTGTTGTTCAAGTCTGGGGTTCTCTTTGACTATGCTGGGCACACTTTTACCCATGATCTGAGAGTGGCTGAGGCTGGGTTTGGATCAGAGCACCAGTTCTCTGCTGGGGATACTGTCACTCTCTTTCTCTGTTATACTCAAGGTAGAAATAAATAAACCTAAAAGAAAATGATTGCCAGAGCTATCCAAGATCCTTCCTTGGTTTAATATTTTCTTTTTGTCCATATTTCTTCAATTGTTTTATTTAGAAATTTTCACTTAAAAAGACAAAGGAACTTTAACAAACTAGAAGAGCCAAAACAAATAGCAATTATATACAGTATGTGTAATTCTGAAGAGGATTCTAGCATGTAAAAAGACATTTGTAGAAAGTTTATGACATTTAGATAACTTTATGGTATAATTATTAATGTACCAGTTTTAATTTCTTATTCTTGAAAATCATTCTGTGGCTATGTAAGATGTTAGCATAAGAAGTGGGGTGATAAGGGAATATAAGGGAATTCTTTAGAAATCTTTTGCAGGCTTTCAAAAGTTTCAAAACAGTTTGAAATAAAACATTTAAAAATAATATATTCAAACTTATTATTTCTATTTTGCATTTTCTTTCTGATACAAATCTTTACAATTCTTCCTCAGAATTTCCAATTTAATTCTCAGTGTCAGATTCTTACCTTTTGTGCAATTGACCAGTAGAATGTATTGTTGGGATTTCAGTTTCTAAGAAAGGATGTATTGTAATTTTACACACAGCACATTTTTTGCTATATACTATTCAGTTTGCCAGTATTTTACTGACTTCTTTGTTTCCGGATACTAAATTCTTTATGGTTGTACTTCCTCATTCTAGTTGACATAATGACTGGCTTTTTAAAATTATTTTTGAGCTGTTGCTGTGCTCTGGGACCCAATATTTCAGAATCCCATCATTCCATTATTATGAGAATAACAAGAGGACCAGATCAAAGGTAAGCCTGTCATTCCTCCTGGAATGTTCTGCATGGATTTGTATAATAGTGATCACCACAAGTGAAGTCTCAACTCTGGGCCCTAAAAATTTCCAGAGAATACATCAGTAGCTCTGGTAGCCAATTTAATACTTCTTTGCTTTCTTCACAGGGACTCTCTAATCCCAAAAGTGATTTAAAGTGGTATCTTTCAACTGTGCGAAAGTAGTAGTTCTTAAATCTTTAGAGATAATGTCCAAAAGACCTAATTATACCTAACTTATTAAGTACCAATTTATTTTAAAAATACATTTAAGTCTCCTGATTAAATAAACAATACATACTTATTGCAGAGCATTTGGAAAATTTGGAAATATCCAAATGAAAAAATTAAATTCATTCATAATTTAATGTATAGGAATTACTAACATTTTAATATATTCATATGTGTATCATACATTATTTAAATAAAACAAAAAGTTTACTTCTACAATCTTTTCACCTGAGAGCACTTTCAACATGCTACTTCTAAGCCAGACACTGGTTTTTCTCCCGACACCATGTAATTCACTGATACCACCTGGGTGTTCTATAATTTAATTATTTCTGATTCTATCTATTTAGAATTGGCATTAGATATTAAAGATTAAGGACCCAATTCCACAAGACTGCCCCTGAGTCAGATGCTAAATTGCAAGTCTGGGCCTCAGTTACTTTTTATAGCTTGACTATTTGGGGTTCTCACAGACTTCTTGAGTTTGTTCATGTGCTAGAATGACTCACAGAACTCAAAGAAACAGAGTATTTATGTTTACTTAAGGTAGTTATAAAAAGATTTAACTCAGGGAACCAGCAGTTAGCGTAATGGCTATGTCGCTGGGCTCCCACGTAGTCGACCGCGGTTTCCGTCCCGGACCTAATGGCTTAAAACTCACGCTGTGTGCGTGTGCGTGTGTGCCCAAGATCCCGAGAGGAGAATGGAGGAGAAGGGATTGCGGCGTGACCATCTCCCCTGGGGGGTGATTTCTCGCTTTCTGTCTCTATGTCTCTCTCTGTCTGGTGAACGCACGTGCCCTATAGCAAAAACCTCTCCAAAACCCCCCCCCAAAAAACAAAAAGATTTAACCCAGGAAGAGCCAGTTGGAAGAGATGTACAGGGCACTGTATGGGACATGAAGGGAAGGCCCATGTCCTTCCACACTCTGCTAGTCTGTCCTGTTCCTAAGAGCAGAAAGATCTGAGTCTGGGTAATTTATGAAAATAGAGGTTTAGTCAGCTCACAGTTTAAGGGTCCTTGGTCAGAGGGCTGCATCTCCTGATGGTTATCCTGCTGGTGGATAATATAGTATAGACAAGAGCTTGAGCTGAGTAGAGCATGTTTCTGTTTGTTTCATTGTAGGTAGTACATAAAAAAAGCAAATGAATACTCTGAAAGATGGAAAGAAGAAAGACAAATGCTAGAGACCTTGGAGCTCAGGGAAACA